ATAAAATAAAATAAAATAAAATAAAATAAAATAAAATAAAATAAAATAAAATAAAATAAAATAAAATAAAATAAAATAAAATAAAATAAAATAAAGGTGCCACGGGGACCTTCTGATCTTCTTGCTTGGAGGACATTGGAGGCCAGTTAGTACATTTGGCCTGTGTAGAGAAATCTGAAAATGGCTTCTTCTGCCTGATATACCATGACACTGGGCTTATAGGGCATAGAAATGCCTTAATTTGTGTCCTTTGCAAGCAGGACAAATTCCTGGCAAAATAACAAGCTAAAGCAACACCAGAGTTGTGTGGTAGACACCAGGGCTCTGCTGCTGCTGCACTGGCAGGTGTCCTGGTTCCTTTGCTCCCAACACCTTGCACTGCTATGGGAGGCAAAGAAACACAGGTTTCCGGTGCGTGCATCCTAAATGATGTCTCCTAAGGAGCCCAGGGACGTAGCACTGGAAAGCAGAGTAGTGGAGAGAAGAGTTCAGCTTCTGCTGCCTTCCTCCTACTCCATCATCTTTTTGTAGATCTGTAAGAGGGCAGGTTACCAGGTAAGAAAGGAATACGTCCTACAGCAGAGACATCAAGAGAAAAGCCCAGTGTGAATAATACTCAGGCACAAGGTAAACATTTTCTAGGCAAATATCCCCGAGTGACCTTTCCAGAGAGTCTGCCTTGAGGGCAGAAATTAAGGCACTGAAAAAATGGGGTAAATTGAGAGCACATTTTGGACTGAGTAAGTCACTTTGAAGTGTTGGCTGTGATTTCTGCATCACTCATGAGTATGGGATTTTGTTAATTATTTCAGCAAGACTTTTGAAAAAATAATTTCCTAGACACTCTGTTAGAATCACTTCCAAAGCTTCTTGTCCTTTAACAAAAACGACAAGTTAGGACTCCTACTTATGCAAATGATGAGACTCCAAAAGCCTGAAATCTTGTCACATTTAGGCACCAGCTGGAGACAACACTGTGAGAGGCTCCTTGTCTCTGACTAAGATGCTTTGGTGGGATTGGATTCAAGTTCTGAGGAATTCCAAAGCAGAAAACATGAGTCATATACTTGAATCTTGCAGAAAATCATAATTCAAACAATTTAAAAATCTTTCATTAGTTTTTTATATACAGTTTGAGGAAATACAGAGTTAAAGATGAGAAAAGCACAAAAACAAGCCAATAAGTAGTCAGCAATAAAAACAGAATATTACAACTCAAAARCTTAAACATAAAAAACCAAAAGTGTCTAGTAAGAGTCAGGAACTACTTAATTTTACCTTTTTTTTTTCCCCCAATATGCTTCTATATATTTTTAAAGTGATCTTMCAGACATATTTCTGACCATTTTAGCCACAAGAGTGTTTCAGTTTCCTTTGCTACTGCTTGCAAAGGTGTGAAAAATATAACCACATTTTGACTGGCTCATTGGAGCATTTAATATTCTCACAGCAATTCCAAGTGTAGCTTAGCTGAAACTCATCATGCAAAAGAAAAGAGATACTCCTCTTAAGTATAAAATAAGAGCAGTTATATTGCATCTCTCTACCCTGTAATTTGTCAGTTGTGGAAACCAAAATATCAAGCGTTCCTTTGTGTCTCTTTAGAAGCCTTGGATGAGTATCATCTAGTCCTGGTGAGCTCTTAGTATTTGCAATTGTGTTTACAAATGTAAACAACCTCTGCTCATATATCAACTAAAATGGACCTTGAAACTCTTTTTCCATTAAAAAAAAAAAAAAAAAAAAAAAAAACTAGTCTAGAAAAGTCCATAAACATCTCCATACTGAACACGAGGATAAACAAGCGTCCTTACTTTCTGTGCTATTGCAGAATCTTCTTTGTACACATCTGTGGATTGACATCTTTTAAAACAACAACAACAAAAACCAACCAACCAAACAAACAAACAAAAATCTTACTTTTACAATTTACTTTCACTTACTTATTAAAAAATAATTTTAAAAAAAGTGAAGCAAAGAGGAAAGAAACTAGGAGCCTTTCCACCTTTCTTCTTTGAACTTTGGAAAATTCTAAATACTCTCTTGAATACAGTGTCATAGGTCATGCTAATGCCTTCTTAGGCACCCCCTAAGTGCCATTCCCATTTATCATAAAATGTGCTTTGCTTGTTTTTTCAATGGTTTCTGAAGGCCCAAAGGCAGTGCAATTTCATAAGCTTTATACCAAGCTTATCTGCAAACAGTGTCTTCCCATGTGGCTCTCTCTTTTACTACCATTAGTTATACATTTATGTCAATCTTTCATTATATATGTAAATACAAAAATACAAATCAAGAAGAAAGGTCATTGACATTCACTTCTAAGTAATACATGCAAATTTAAGAAGTCCAGTTAACTTTTTCAAAAACGTTGAAAAAAAAAAAATCACTTCATACTTCAGTCTGTTGTCATCTAAGCCAGTCAGTTCTCAATCATTCTGGCCACATAAATCAGGAATTCATTTATTTGGAGGAAGGCAAAGGGAAGGCAGCAGCAGCTGAACACTTCTCTCCCCTACAACCTTGCCTCTTCCACCTGATGAATTGTCTCTCTGCTCCTCCCAATGCTCCTGTGGCAGCTGAATGACCCAGGTTTTGTCAGTCCAGGCAGTCTCTGCTCTCCAGGGCTACATCTTGGTCCTCCTGCAGAGACATCACTAGTGTTAACAGCTTCCCAGGCTCTCTCTAGGCAGGATAGAGTGTTGGAAATAAAAAAAAAAAAAGAAGAAGAAAAACAACAAAAATATTATTTAGTGCTTACTAAATATATTCATATGCATCTAATCTTTAAACTTTCTGCAAGTATACAAAAAAAAAAAAAAAGTCCCAAACGCCAAGAATATTAGGTATGTGCCAAAATTGTAAGCATTGGAACAACAGCAATGATTTAAAGTTGATTTCTAGACTACTTAAAGCCCAGGAGCCAAAATACACTGGATTTCTGTTCTGCCAGATCTGCTGTGGTAGGTGCAGGTGTGTCTGCATCTTCACATGAACCTACACATGCTACAGAAAATAGATTTATGTCTAAGAAATATATAAATWGGTATGAGGATGTGATAACACAAAATCCTGAAACCAGGTAACATTTCAGAGTACTTTTTGT